CCCCCCCCCCCCCCCCCGGTTAAAAAGGCAGGCGCTAATGACACTTGTCCCAGTTCTAATGCATCTTTTGTAAAATGGATTGTAAATAGGACTCCCTCTGCTGGAGACGAGGTCTTTACAATATCCTTAGTGATAAACTTGTTGTTTAATTTAATTCTGAAACATTTCTGGCCTGAATTATTGCAAGCATGTTTCAACACCAGAATGTGCTCAGTGCAAACTTGCTGTTACTTATTTCCGATTAACATGCTACACAATGTATTCATGTTTTAAAAATGGCTGACTTCTGGATCTCTTGGCAGTGGGACTCATGGAGAGAGAGTGAATAGAGGAGAGAACACATTGGCATGATCTGTTAACTGAACCCCAATGGTACGCTGGCCTCTCCATTTTTACAGTGATGATTAATAAAATTCTTTCAGACTTACTCAGGAGCAGAAGTTGCCCTTAAAGCATGAAGCAGGAATCTGGATCTTGCAAAACTGTAAAAGCAGCTTCTGATTCAGCACTGTGGGCTCTTGACACTCTGGAATGAAAATCCAGATCACAAACCACATTTAGCGAAGCACTGTGACAAGGTCATTACATGCTGGGAAGAAGTTATTAAAGACAATCCAAATATTGCTACCTCCTTTATTTTTAACTGTAATAAAGCTAGAGTTTACTGGATTGCCAAAAAAGTGATTCACATATATTAAAGCATTTCCACAATTAATTGAATCATTCAGCTATACCTAACTGTTACTGTTTATGGTTTTATAATGTAATGGAAATATAATATCTTGTAGTGTCACTCATTTTTTTCTAAGAATATTCTGTCACCTCACACAGTGACAGTTAGCTGATGGTCAGCATTTGTCTTTCGTCCGAAAGAGAAACTGTCCGGCTCAAAAAAAAGCAAGACAGTCTGGGTTCAAAGGTCACAGAGAGGCCAAGGTTGATTAATGGCGCAGTCAGGGGGCCGCGTTGGCTCAGCTCTCCCGCAAAACTAGACGCCTTATCCATCCGATTCGTAGAAAACCAAACGCCAGCGTGCAAAATAGATTGGATAAACTTCTCTTCAAGTCACCCTCTGCATCATCAGCTCTAAGCAAGCTATTAATAAAAGATTCCAGGCTGGTGAGGTTTGAAGATGATCTGCCGGGCCTGTTACACGCACACAAGACTTTCTCAGTCATTCTGAAATCCCCCTTTTTCTCCTATGGAGTTTCAAGTTCACAGGAAAGTTTTGTGGGTTTAGCCCGTCTTCCTGTTGAAATCAGAAAGCTCATTGTAGCCAGAATGATTCACCCCCGTGGCTTTTGCCGAAACGAATGCTCGCATGTGGCCCGCTGGCTTGGCAGAGAGCCCGTGCTTCAAAAGCCCAAACCTCCTCCTATTGCTTGGACTGGCAACCCTGGACAGGTGAGGTAACAGTGGTACCTACTGAGACACTGTGCTGGCCACAATGACGTGTGCCAGTATAAGATTTTAAAAAAAAAGGAAATAAAAGGTACGAATTTAGATTAAATGTAACTATGCATTCTACATTTAAAGCATTAAATGTCTGAGATTGGGAAAAATCTTACAAATTTCTTCCAGATTACAATTATGTAAGAATTTTGTATTGGTATACAGTAGTTGAAGGCAATGTGGTTTTGGGTTACCTCTCTTTTAGCTGTTTCAAGCTCAAAATTGGATATAGACGCTCCACTACTTGCGAACAACAGCCATTCATAACTTGAAATGTTCGTAAGTTGTTATTCAACATCATTTTAAGGCTATGCGCAAGTACAAAGAACTAGGATGCTGGGAGTACGCACGCTACGCTGCTGCATGGCGGGAGCAGGAGCCAGAAGTCGTACTAGGCGGAATTGGCGCGCAGAAAAAAAAAAATGTTGCGGACAAGAAATGGGAGCCCAATGAACACAATTTGGGCTTACAGTCCTCTTCGTTCGTATGTCTGAAAGTGCGTAAGTTGAAAGTTCGTAAGTAGAGGACTGTAAGCCCTACTGAAAAGAAAGCAAAAATGAACAAGTGAAAGACCCAAATTGATCAGGCATCATGCTTATCTGGGTAAACTGGAGGGACGCTCTACTGGACTCCTCCGGAACGCCACTCATGGGTCATTTCTGTAAATGTGAGGAAATACTCTGGAAACCATTAATATGAATATGTGCCTTGTCTGGCTGCCATGCCTTACTGAATAAAAGTATTAAAGATAAGCACTTAGTTTTTTTAATACTATGAAACTTAGAAAAGAGTAGAATTTCCTGTGGAGCCATTTGTGATGCCTAGTTTAGATTTAACCTAGTTTAAATTTAATAGCTATATGAGCAAACTTCAGTTTTATATCATATATATCACTGTATTCTTTACATTGAATTATGTGTTTTATGGGCTGACACAGGGGTTATCACCATCGTGAATTATTATGAACATTTCAGTCAAAAAAAATAATAATATAAGCGCCAAACCTGTTTGATCAGTTGACATATTTTATTCAGGTCTATATTCAGGTTTTATATGAGCTCAGAGTTAAATGATTAAATGTATCTATGCAGTGTTAATATCTAAACCTAGATTTACATGTTTTTTCATGTATCAAATAGCTGAAATAGTTAGCTTCTATTTTAAATGTCAGCAATCTTTGGGGGTTTATGTTTCTTATGTCACCTGTTCCTGCAGGTGTGTTGTCATCTGTTAAGGTTGTGTACCATGTGTTGGCCCACATGGTGGCCTAAGTCCTTCTGAGAGACCTTACTGGAGGACCTTAGTGAAGGACCTCGGGCTGTGGGGGGTTAAAATGGACCCCTGGATTTATTTGGGGTTTAGGGAGTGGGCAAGGGGGGTGCTGGTGGTTTAAAACTTTCACACACACACACACACACACACACACACAGAAACACACACACACACACTTTACTGAATGGCCTTAATCTCCAGAGCAATGGCTTTAGTATGATTTGTGCCACAGCTGTCCACCCCTGGAACATTAGGCGACTGTCCCGCACATGCTCAGCTGCAGGAACAACTGTCATTGGGCAAATGAGAAAACAAGATGTTTGAAACCACAACTTGCCATTGCACCCGGCAAGGGGTGCTACCGGAGAGCGATTCGGGGAGGAGGGCCGCGCTCAGCATGGCAGACAAGGATTACTGCCAAGTGGGGGCCACGTGTCTGTGGTGTGGAGAGCGTCCCGACCCGTGAAGATGAGTGCTGCTTTGTGATTAATAGACGGCCCATTGTTCTCTTCAAAATGGAGAAGATTAAGAGGTTTTAACTGCAGTCTGGGCTGTTTAGGCTACTACATTGGGTCAGAACAGCAGGGATTCATCTTAGTTTCAGTCTAGATCTAGTTGGTTCTTTATAAATTATCTTCTATCAGCATAATTTTTGTCTTATTAAATCTAAGGCATAACCTTGTTGTTTTTTTCACCAATTTAACTTGACATCAAATTTCATATAGCTGGTTATAAAACCAATAGAGTAATAATAATAATAATAATAATAACAATAACTGATACTTATCCCCATGGGGAAATTCTCTTTACACCTCCCCCAGCTTGCTCTCTGTAGGATAAAACAAGCTGGCTGCGAGGAGAGTTTAAGAACCGTTGTGCTTTGATGTTGGATTGCTGTGTCATCCGGAGCTCCTGGTAAGGCCTTTCTTAAAGAACAGTGGCCTGTACTACGAAGCGGGGTTACTGGCTTATCGGGGTAACTTGTCGGATTTAAGGTAGTCTGGGCAAAACGTAAGTGAACGAATTTTAAGTCCATTTAAACTCTGGTACCTTAAATCCGTCAAGTTACCCCGATAAGCCAGTAACCTCACTTTGTAGTACAGGCCCCTGGTCTGTGGGGAGAAGCCAGTAAAACAACAATTCAAAAAAGATCCCATGAAATGGACCAATTAAATCTAGAGTACATTGCCCAGGATAGGGCAACCTGGAGGTACCCCCAGTGAATGAAGAGGTCCGTTCCAGTACCATCTGTATGAGTGGGAAGGACTCAGATAGATCAGACCTTGACGATGGATGCTGTCCTTGGGAAAGTGGACAAGGA